CCGCGAGCCCCCGATCCCGCAGACCCCCGCCCCCCGGCGGCCCCGGGCGCGGAGCCTGGCCGGGATGGACCGGGAGACGCGCGTGTTCGCCGAGAGCTACTTCCGAGGCCTCCGGGGGCGTACCCCTGGCGGGGTGGCCCCGGCCCCCGCCCCGGCCCGCGTGGACTTCATCGCGGAGCCGGCCTCCTTCTCCTACGCCGACTTCTTCAGGGGCTACCTGCTACCCAACCTGCCGTGCGTCTTCTCTAGCGCCTTCACCGCGGGCTGGGGCAGCAGGCGGCGCTGGGTGACGGCCGGCGGGCAGCCCGACTTCGACCACCTGCTTCGGATCTACGGTGGGTCGGGGGCGTCGGGGGAGGGGGCGGGAGTGTCTGGAGACGGCGTGCGATGAGCCGGGCGGGCGGGCGGGTCCAGGAGCCTGGGCGGGCGGGAGGACCCGCAGCACAGTCCGCGCCTGCCGGTCCTTGCAGGAGACGTGGTCGTGCCTGTTGCGAACTGCGGGGTCCGGGAATACAACTCGAACCCCAAAGAGCACATGCCTCTGAGAGACTACATCAGCTACTGGAAAGAGTACATCCAGGGGGGCCGCTCGTCCCCGCGGGGCTGCCTCTACCTCAAAGACTGGCACCTGTGCAGGTACGGGGCGTCGGTTGGTGTGCGAAACCTGCGCTCCTGTGGTGGGGCGGGTCCCTCTCTCCGGCGGGGCCGGCTCACGATGCGGCTGTGAGGAGCGTGGGCCCGGCAGAGCCAGACGGGCGTGGCTACCCCGTCTTCTCTGTCGGGTTCGCCCAGAGCCGACGCTCCCTGCCTGTCACTGCCATCCGTCCTCTGGGGCGCCCCGGGACTGGCCTCCCCTCTCTAGCCTCACTTCTCCAGGTCGGGCCCTATCTCGTCGTCCTGGTCTGCAGCCAGTCTCCTGACCGGCTGCCCGGCCTCGGGTCCTGCACCCCACTGCTGGGCTGGCTGAGGTCGATCTTTCCAGCAGGCCTGTGTCCCACCCGCGTCAAGTTTCCGCCGCTGAGGAGCAGCACCAGCTCTCTAACGAAGCTGTTCCCAATGTGCCCACCCGCCTGGAGCTCACATGAGCCGCCCTGAGAAGCCGCTCGCCTGCAGGGTTCCCGCTCTGTGAGGCGGTCCTTGGGTTTTGTGTCCGTTTCCCGCACCCAGGGGTGTGCTTTTCACAGGCAGAGAGGGGGTCACAGTCAGCTCCCACCAGCTGGCTCAGGGCCTGGCACCGAGGAGGTGCTCAGTTAACGCTGGATGAACCAGTGAACAGCCGAATTCTTGTTTTACTGACGTGGAAACTAAGGCTCAAAAGGTAAAGTGAGACTAGAATTCGGGCCCTTGTGATCCCCAAGACAACGCAAGAGTGCAGGAGCCACGGCACTACCCACTCGCAGCTCACCCTGGGTGTTCCCCCACTGCTTCTCCTCGGCCACAGAGAGCTGGCCAGGTAGATGGTGGATCAGGTGCCACCAGACACTGGTCCTGGCCTCAGGGCCTCAGACCCAGACACTCATGTACTGTGGAATTGGGCTTCAGATAAGCAACAAGTGGTTTCTTTGGTATAAATATGTCCCGAGTCTTGCACCGGGCCTACTTGTCCTAGAAACTTGTTCATTGTTTATTTGAAATTTAGTTTGACTGAGTGTCCTGTGTTTTCCCCGGCAACCTTAAAAATAAAGAGAGCAGAGGAAGGCCTGGGTCAGACAGGCCGTGGTGGCCATGAGAGGTGATATCTGAGCAGGGTTTCAAAGGATAAGTAGCAGTCTGTTGGCGCACAAAGGCACGGCAGCAGAGGAACTGGCGTGGTTTGGGGAACTACAAGTGGTTTGGTGCTGCTGGGGCTCTCCTCTGTCCTGGCTTCTGACCAAGTGATGTGTGAAGAGTCCAGAGCCTGTTCCAGCATGTCGTTGGTAGAGCCTTGTTCTCCCCGGGGCTGATTCAGTGTGCTCTGTGTTTGGGGGCCCATTGGTTGGGTTGTGGGAATGGACCAGGGGAGTGAGGGGTTGAGAGACTGGGGGCAAAAAGGACCTCAGTGTAGAGGGGCCATCCTGCCTGGGCCTGTGGCCTTGCATCCACTCGGCAGAGTTGAGGTCACTGGTGTGGTGAAAACGCATAGGAGACCCATGAATTTGGGGAACCAGCATGATGCACGTAGAACCCCAGCTCAACCAGAGGCTGAAATCCTGGAACTGGTGCAGGAGGGGCCCAGAACGTCTGGGTCGCTGCCTGTATGGGTCGTCTAGACCGTATCACAGCACCCCCAAAGCCATTTTATCTGCTTTCTACCTGGTTCAGTCATTTGGGTGGGGCTCAGCTGGGGTCTCTCGGGGCTGTGGTCATCAGGTGGCTCGATGAGGGCTGGGTGGTCTGAGGTGATCCCATTCAGCCTAGCAGTTGGTGCTGGCTTCAGAAGGCAGGTCAGAGTCACTATGTTCCAAAACTGTCCTGCTATCTCACGTGTTTGGGGCCTGGGTACCGGGAGGTGGGCTCGTCCCACTCGGGCTGCAGCCTCGTGCCATTCTCTAAAGGGACTCCTCGGCAGAGGGCGTGTTCACTCTGCCCGTGTACTTCTCGTCCGACTGGCTCAATGAGTACTGGGATGCCCTGGGCGTGGACGACTACCGCTTCATCTACATGGGGCCTGCCGGCACCTGGTAACCGCCTGTCTGCTCCCACCCCTGCCCTACACCCCATGCCGATCACTCCCCTGAACCTTCCTGCTGGCATGTCAGCTGTTGCCCAGCGCCTCTTGGAGATTCCCATGAGCCAGGCCATGGAGTCGGTGCCAGGTCTGGCATTTCCAGGCTTACTTCCCCTCTCTCCTCCGTGGCTCCACCCAGAGCCTGTGCACCTCTTGCAGGACGTTCTGGGGGGGGAGGTTTGGCCGCCCACCTGGCTCATAGGCCAGGTGTGACATCTGGGTACCTCAGGCCTTTGAGCGCAGCCAGCCTGTTGATAAGAAGCAAAGCCCACACCCAAGCCGCGAGACACCAACAGGATCTCTTGCACAGGTCGCCATTCCATGCCGACATCTTCCGCTCCTTCAGCTGGTCCGTCAACATCTGCGGGAGAAAAAAGTGGTTCTTCTTCCCACCTGGGCAAGAGGAAGCCCTGCGGGATTGCTATGGTGGCCTGCCCTACGACGTGACCTCTCCCACACTCCTCGACAGCCGCCTGTACCCCATGCGCGAGCACTGTAGCCCACCGCTGGAGGTCACGCAGGAGGCAGGCGAGATGGTCTTTGTGCCCAGCGGGTGGCACCACCAAGTTCACAACCTGGTAGTGTGGGCACTCCCTGCCCCACACGCCCGTGACCTGGCCCAGACAGGCCAGGGAGACATGCCACAGGGCCCCGCCAGGCTGGCCCTGATCCCCATTCAGCTGTGCCCTCAGGCTGCCCAGCGGCCCTCCTCTCCCTCACTGCCTTCCTGGATGCCTTCTTGTCATGCCGTCACCCCTCCTGATCCCAGAGTAGGCAGGCTGTTCCTCTGGGAGAGCCTGGGTGTGGGACGGGCAGGCCGCAGACTGGCTGGTCCTGTGTTGGGCTGTGGCCCACTGGTTCTTGCATGGAGCACTGCTGGAAGCCCCCAGCCCCCGTTTCCCTCCCTCCCATGTTGCTTTCCTGGACAGCAATGGGCAATGGGTCCTCACACAGTGGGGTTGTCCCAGTCCCTCAGGGAGCCCCACTCTGGGTTAGCTATAGACTTGGATGATCCCAGCCCTGCTCCCTCTTCCCTCCTGGCCCCCATTGGGAGACAGGAGCAGCCCCTCCCAGAGAGGCGGCCTGGGAGGACCTCAGGATGGGAGGAGGGGACAGTGCCTGCCGTGGGCTCATGGGGACAGCCTGCGCCCTGCCCCTTGCAGGAGGACACCATCTCCATCAACCACAACTGGGTCAACGGCTGTAACCTGGCCAACATGTGGCACTTCCTGCAGCAGGAGCTCTGTGCTGTACAGCAGGAGGTCATCGAGTGGAGGGACACCATGCCCGACTGGCACCACCACTGCCAGGTGGGGCGACCTGGGGACGGGGGGGCTCACCAGGGCCAGAGCTGGGACAGGGAGGGGCTCACCAGGGCCAGAGCTGGGACGGGGAGGGCCTCGCCAGGGCCACAGCGGGGATGGGGAGGGGCTCGCCAGGGCCACAGCGGGGACGGGGAGGGGCTCGCCAGGGCTGGACTGCAGTCAGGGGCAGGGGAGTACTCACCAGAGCCAGGGCGGCAGGGGGGAGGGTGTTTGGTGGCCCCTAGGATAACCTGCAGTCTCGGGGAGGGTATGGTCCGTAAGGCCTGAGCTTCAGTGTTGGTGGCATGGTGGCCGCCAGGCCTGCCTATGCCAGGGTCATTCTGGGCTTCTAGGCTGCGGAGCACAGACCTATCCCATCACTGGCTGGCTCCCGTGTGTCTTGGTCTCCATCCTCGAGGACTGGACTGTGTCCCCGGGTCATTTGCAGCCTGTTCTCTGTCCACAATTAGCAGAAACTTGCCTGGAGCTGTGAGCGAGCGGCAGCTCACTGGCTGCTCCCCTCTGGCCCAGGTCATCATGAGGTCCTGCTCTGGGATTAATTTTGAAGAATTTTACCACTTCCTCAAAGTCATCGCTGAAAGGAGGCTTCACCTTCTGGTGAAGGGGACAGGCCCTGGAGAGGTGGAGGACGGCAAGGGCGCCGAGCTGGGCCCCCAGCAGGCGACTTTCGACGTCGGACGGATTGCCGAGGTGCTGGCGTCCGTGGTGGCCCACCCCGACTTCCAGAGAGTGGACACCAGCATGTTCTCACTGCAGCCAGAGGAGCTCCTCAAGCAGCTGGAGGAGGTTGTGGCCACCGCTGCATCCCTTTAGTGTTTGCTGCAAGGATCAGCAAGACACGTCCTGACGGGACCCTCGAGGCACTGGTGTGGAAGGCAGTCGCCCTGCTCCAGGGTCCTTTTGGAAATACAGCTCCATCCTCCCGTGTGGCCTGGGACACGTCACCTCCCCATTGAGCCTTGTCACTTCAGCGTCCCAGGCACAGTTCCTGCTCTTATGGGGTCTCATACTGTCCTGGCTGTCCATTGGCATCCTTGGGACCCTGGTGCCTGTCCAGAGGGTCCAGGCTCCTTGTCCTCGTGAGGCCCAGCCAGGACTTGGAACTCTGGATCCAGTGAGGGGAGGGTGGGGAGGTGTTGGTAAGTTGGACCTGCAGCCAGGAGGCCGGGAACGTGCTGGGGGCTCAGGAGTCAGGGTGGCCACACCTGCTGTTTGCCATCCAGGGTCACTTTGCAAGCATCGTTTGATTCATCAACCACTCTTTGCACACTCAACCTGCCCTGTCCAACTTCCAAACCTTGCACATCACCTCTGTGCCAAGCAAAAATCAATCATTGCACAGTGTTCTATTGTTTAAACTCTGCACACTTTTCTGCACCATCCGCTTTCCACTCTTTGCACACCTAGTGCCACTCCGGTAGTCACGGTTTTAGTGTTCTCCAGAGAAATGGAGCCAATAGGATATATGTGGAGAGAGATGTTGGGAGCTGGTGTGAGGTCTGCAGGGCAGGCTGGAGACCCAGGGAAGAGCTGATGTGCAGTCTTGGCTCCGAAGGCTGAGCACTTGGGCACAGTTTCTGTATGCAATCTAGAGGCAGAATTGCTGCTGCTTTGGGAACCTCGGTCCTTGCTCTTAAGGCCTTCAGCTGACTGGATGAGGCCCCCGCACATGATGGAAGGCAATCTGCTCTACTCAGAGTCTGCCAAATTAAATGTTAATCACATCTAAACAATGCCTTCACAGCGACATACAGACTGGCATTGACCAGACCACTGGGCACCATGGCCTGGCCGCGTCGGCACATGCGATTGACCATCATCATCACTCCCCACATGTTTTCTGGGATTTAGCGGTCACTCGTCCATCCAGCACCTCTCCGACGTTCGGCAGTGTCTGCCTGCACGCTTGCTGTGGGCGATTCAACAGCCACTTGTGCACTCATGCTGCACCATCGACTTCTACACCTGCCCACACACTGCCATTTTACAGTCGCTCTTTGCACACTTCCCTGAGTGTTTTTCAACCACTGTTTCAGCATGCTGTGTGATTAAACTACTCTTTGCACACTCACTGGGTTGGGCAACCATCCTTTGCACATGTTCTGTGCCATCCAACTTCCTTTATTTGCATGCCCACTCTGCCATTTAATCACTCCTTGCAGATTTGCTGTGTGTAGTTCAAACGCCAATGTCTACGTCATTCTCCGGCTTCACACTTTGCACACCCATTGTTCACCAAAGTCACTGTTCACACACTCGCCATATGCAGTTCAACAAAGAACTTATGCATGGGCATTTTGCTCGGTCCAGCTCTCAGTCCAACATGCCCTCTGCTGCATTTAACAATTGCTCTTCCTGTGCTCACCATCAAACTTTTGACTCTCAAACACCCACTGTGTGCTATTCAACAATGTCTTGTTGCGCACTCACTGTGCAAGAGTCGCTCTGAACACTCACTGGGGCCAGGTTAGCAACCACTCTTCACCTTTCTGCTCCTTCCAGCTCCCCCTCCTGCATAGCCATTGTGTGCCATTTGACAGTTCTTGCATACTCACTGTGCAAATCAGTAACCACTCGTTGCACAGTAGGTCAATTCATCACTCTTCCCTTGCACATTAGTTCTGCACCACCCACTAAGCCATCAATGATCAACTTCTTCACAATCACGACGTGATCCAACAACCACTTGCTCTGTTTCGCTCTATCCTATGTCCACTTCTTGCACACCCACTTGCATTCAGCAGTATCTCCTTGCACAATCCCTCTGGGCCTGGCAGAGGTGAGCCCTGCTATGTGTCTGGGTGACACTTGTGGCCATTGGGGAGGAGGGGGACAACTCAGAATTGCCCCACAGTTCATCTGGCTCTTATCTTTACGGGCTGTGTACTCGGGGGGTGTTGAAAATACTGAACAGGCTGGAGGCTCTGCTGCGCCTACTGTTGGCCCTTTGGTTCCCGATCCTGGGGAAGCCCCAGGAGGGCACTCGATGAGCTCAGGCAGTATGTTTCCCACCCGGACTGGAAGCGTTCCAGTATTTAGCTAGTAATGCTGTGTCCATACTGCCCATGGACCCTCAGCCGTCAGGATGCGTCTTCCAGCCCTTCCCTTGGGAAATGTTCACACCCCATGACGTTCATCGGGCCCAGCTAGAGAAGAGTGACCGCGGTGTGCCTGGCGGGAGCTGGGGCCGGCTAGGGCATTTCTGGTTAAAACGGTTATACTAGGCATTGCAGGGAAGCTCATGGAGCGAAGCCCAGCTGTTGGCCTCAACTCGGCACCACAAATCTTTCCCCTGCATAAGAAATAAGCAGGAAAAGGAATTGTGAGGTCAGAGACAGGATCCCGGGAGGATTCAAATCCAGGTTTGGGCCCCCGAGGGGGACTGAGAATGGAAAGTCCCACCTGCCAGCCCTCAGTCCATTTGCTGATGGTCTTCCCCTGGCTTGTCCTTCCACATGGGATGTTCCTATCTGTTTTACAATTTTCCCCGCTTAGGGCTGATGAAATTCCAGAGTTTGACCTTGGAAACTACAGTTTCCCGACGTGGTCAAAAGATACCTCAGCAAAAGAAGCAGAAAATGTTCCCTCTTCCTCCCAAATGGGAAGGCAGCCACTGTCCTGGGGCAGGAGGTGGTCTTGGCAGGTGTTCCTGTGGAAGACGCCCACGTGTCAGTGGTTGTGGCTCTCCCTGTGGAAGTACCTTCAGCCTCTGAACCCCAGGAGTTCTGGGGGACTGTGAGCTCCTTGTCTGGTTTAATGGTGCTGAAGCAAATGTGTCCACTGAGGGGGCGTGGGCATGTCCTTCAGCAGCTAGAGAGGAGAGGCTGGCCCTTCTCACTTCTCCCACCTAAAATAAATGGATGGCCCTGCAAGGCTTCTTATGGAACGAGGAACGAGCGAGTCTGTGTCTCATTTCAACACAGGAAATGAAAGAACAAAACCACAACTCCCAGGCTCTAGTAGAAACAGGATTTTAATATAGTATTCAAGTGTAGCCTTTGCTGTTCACAACAAATATTGTCCCAATTGGTTTTTTTTTTTTTTTTTTACCTTTTATACACAAATTCAATCACCCTCTCACCTCCTCCAAAATCTTCCCTTCCTACCGGCCCCACCTCTGTGGTCCCAGAATGCCCTTGGTGCCTGGCCCTGGCGGTGGTGCAAGAGAACATCAGTGGGACTCGGCCGGCCCCTTCTCACTCACCTGGGGAAGAGTGTAATATGTCGAGGGGCTTCCTTTCCCGGGGGAGGGAGAGAGGCAAGTTTCTTACTCTCAGTTGGCCTTGGTGGAATCTGAGATTCTGTCTAGCCTGAGAAAGGCGACAGTGGTGGGAGGCAGGGCCAGGACCCCTAGCAGGTCATGGACAGGTGCGGTAGACACAAGAACTGCAGTCAGACCCAGTGGGTGAGGGGGTGCCCGGGGTACCTGTGGGCACAGGTGGCAGTGCCCCTACCTGCAAGGAAGAGGCAAGTGCACAGAGGGCAGTGCCCACTGGCAGTGCTCTTCGGCTAAAGGCAGCGAGTCCTCTAGTTCCCAGAGAGCAGAAGGCACCTGAGGCAGCAGGTGTTCCGCGGGAGTCCAGGTCAGCATGTCAGCTGTCAGGCCTCGTGCCAAGCCAGAAGAGAGGTCCAGTGGTGAAACAAATCTGGAGGTGGCCTGGGCTTGCAGCTTGGGAGGGAGGTACCAGCTGGCCTCCAGTCTGTAAGTGTTTACCCAGCCAGCCACACCCTGGAGAGGATGGTCCTGAGGCTGGCTATTGCCACGGGTCAGTTAGAAGATGCCCTTTTTGAACTAGAAAAAGAGCAAAGGAACCGTAAAAAATACTACAGCAGAGATGAATGTAATAGCAGAAAAGCAATGAGAAAACAAAATTGTTTCTTTGAAAAAAATGGACAAAGCTTTAGTGAGATTGACTAAGAAAAAAGTAGAGAAGACTCAAATAACTAAATCAGAAACAAAGTCAGGACAGCACTACCCAAGCAGTGCTACAACTGGTGCCCAGAGATGGCGGGAGGGCAGCAGAGTCAGAGGACCGCAGGTGGAGGTCCCCACGGGGGCACCCCACACCCCAACAGCCCATGCTGGGCAGTTCAGCCCTCCCTGGAGGAGGGGAGGGGTCCTCCTTCCAAAGAGGAAACTGAGGCTGGTGCTTGCTTTCCCTCCCCTGCCTAGAAAATCACCCTCAAGGGAGGCCAAGGTGGGGCCTGGAGGGTGCTGTCCACTCACCAGACCAGGGCCGGACCGCTAGCCTCTCCCCAGGTCGCCAGCTCAGCTGGAGGGATCTGCCCTCTCCTGGAGCCCACTCCCTTCCCTCTATTCCATTTAGGGGTTGGGGACCCCAGGGTGCCTCTCAGACTCGTTCAGCTTCTACCAGTGGCCACAAGAGGCCTGGCCTTGAGAGGAAAGTCACTCAAACACCTCCTTCCCGGCATTTGGGGCAGAAGCCTGGGCCAGGCCTCGCCTCTGCCACGCCAGCCCCCAGGGCCCCCACACTTGCTGTGCTAGGCCAGCCCCACCAGTGAGAGCAGTCGTGAGGGTGTGGCCTGGAGGAGCCCTCAGCAACTGCAGCCTACCAGCAGGACCTCCACTCCCAAATCTCAGGTCACACGACCCCTCCTCAGGGAAGCCACCTCTGACCCCTTCGCCTCTCCTCGAAAACAAGACCTCATCCTGACAACTTCCTGCCTTATGTGCCCTGCCCTAATTTCCTCCCCCCCCCATACTGGAACCCCATGAAGACAAGGGTCAACATGACCTGGGCGTCCGTGTGGCCTAGGGACTGGCGTGGACTGAGGGTTATTGTGGCTTGAGG